CCAGCCATTTCTCTCTGATTCCCATCCCAGCCATTTCTCTCTGATTCCCATCCCAGCCATTTCTCTCTACTTCCCATCCCAGCCATTTCTCTCTGCTTCCCATCCCACCCATTTCTCTCTGCTTCCCATCCCAGCCATTTCTCTCTGCTTCCCATCCCAGCCATTTCTCTCTGCTTCCCATCCTAGCCATTTCTCTCTGATTCCCATCCCAACCATTTCTCTCTGATTCCCATCCCAGCCATTTCTCTCTGATTCCCATCCAAGCCATTTCTCTCTGATTCCCATCCCAGCCATTTCTCTCTGATTCCCATCCCAGCCATTTCTCTCTGATTCCCATCCCAGCCATTTCTCTCTGATTTCCATCCCAGCCATTTCTCACTGCTTCCCATCCCAGCCATTTCTCTCTGCTTCCCACCCCATCCATTTTTCTCTGATTCCCATCCCAGCCATTTCTCTTTGCTTCCCATCCCAGCCATTTCTCTCTGATTCCCATCCCAGCCATTTCTCTCTGCTTCCCATCCCAGCCATTTCTCTCTGCTTCCCATCCCAGCCATTTCTCTCTGCTTCCCATCCCAGCTGGGATGGGAAGCAGTGAGAAATGGCTGGGATGGAAATCAGAGAGAAATGGCTGGGATGGGAACCAGAGAGAAATGGCTGGGATGGGAAGCAGAGAGAAATGGCTGGGATGGGAAGCAGAGAGAAATGGCTGGGATGGGAAGCAGTGAGAAATGGCTGGGATGGGAAGCAGAGAGAAATGGGTGGGATGGGAATCAGAGAGAAATGGCTGGGATGGGAATCAGAGAGAAACGGCTGGGATGGGAATCAGAGAGAAATGCGTGGGATGGGAAGCAGAGAGAAATGGCTGGGATGGGAAGCAGAGAGAAATGGCTGGGATGGGAATCAGAGAGAAATGGCTGGGATGGGAATCAGAGAGAAATGGCTTGGATGGGAATCAGAGAGAAATGGCTGGGATGGGAATCAGAGAGAAATGGTTGGGATGGGAATCAGAGAGAAATGGCTAGGATGGGAAGCAGAGAGAAATGGCTGGGATGGGAAGCAGAGAGAAATGGCTGGGATGGGAAGCAGAGAGAAATGGGTGGGATGGGAAGCAGAGAGAAATGGCTGGGATGGGAAGTAGAGAGAAATGGCTAAGATGGGAATCAGAGAGAAATGGCTGGGATGGGAAGCAGAGAGAAATGGCTGGGATGGGAAGCAGAGAGAAATGGCTGGGATGGGAAGCAGAGAGAAATGGCTGGGATGGGAATCAGAGAGAAATGGCTGGGATGGGAATCAGAGAGAAACGGCTGGGATGGGAATCAGAGAGAAATGCGTGGGATGGGAAGCAGAGAGAAATGGCTGGGATGGGAAGCAGAGAGAAATGGCTGGGATGGGAATCAGAGAGAAATGGCTGGGATGGGAATCAGAGAGAAATGGCTGGGATGCGAATCAGAGAGAAATGGCTGGGATGGGAATCAGAGAGAAATGGCTGGGATGGGAATCACAGAGAAATGCCTGGGATGGGAAGTAGAGAGAAATGGCTGGGATGGGAAGCAGAGAGAAATGGCTGGGATGGGAATCAGAGAGAAATGGCTGGGATGGGAATCAGAGAGAAATGGCTGGGATGGGAAGCAGAGAGAAATGGCTGGGATGGGAATCAGAGAGAAATGGATGGGGTGGGAAGCAGAGAGAAATGGCTGGGATGGGAAGCAGTGAGAAATGGCTGGGATGGAAATCAGAGAGAAATGGCTGGGATGGGAATCAGAGAGAAATGGCTGGGATGGGAAGCAAGAGAAATGGCTGGGATGGGAAGCAGAGAGAAATGGCTGGGATGGGAAGCAGAGAGAAATGGCTGGGATGGGAAGCAGAGAGAAATGGCAGGGATGGGAATCAGAGAGAAATGGCTGGGATGGGAATCAGAGAGAAACGGCTGGGATGGGAATCAGAGAGAAATGCGTTGGATGGGAAGCAGAGAGAAATGGCTGGGATGGGAAGCAGAGAGAAATGGCTGGGATGGGAATCAGAGAGAAATGGCTGGGATGGGAATCAGAGAGAAATGGCTGGGATGGGAATCAGAGAGAAATGGCTAGGATCGGAAGCAGAGAGAAATGGCTGGGATGGGAAGCAGAGAGAAATGGCTGGGATGGGAAGCAGAGAGAAATGGGTGGGATGGGAAGCAGAGAGAAATGGCTGGGATGGGAAGTAGAGAGAAATGGCTGGGATGGGAATCAGAGAGAAATGGCTGGGATGGGAATCAGAGAGAAATGGCTGGGATGGGAATCAGAGAGAAATGGCTGAGATGGGAATCAGAGAGAAATGGCTGGGATGGGAATCAGAGAGAAATGGCTGGGATGGGAATCAGAGAAAAATGGCTGGGATGGGAATCAGAGAAAAGGCTGGTTTGCGAATCAGAGAGAAATGGCTGGGATGGGAAGCAGAGAGAAATGGGTGGGATGGGAAGCAGAGAGAAATGGCTGGGATGGGAAGTAGAGAGAAATGGCTGGGATGGGAATCAGAGAGAAATGGCTGGGATGGGAATCAGAGAGAAATGGCTGGGATGGGAATCAGAGAGAAATGGCTGGGATGGGAAGCAGAGAGAAATGGCTGGGATGGGAATCAGAGAGAACTGGATGGGGTGGGAAGCAGAGAGAAATGGCTGGGATGGGAAGCAGTGAGAAATGGCTGGGATGGAAATCAGAGAGAAATGGCTGGGATGGGAATCAGAGAGAAATGGCTGGGATGGGAAGCAGAGAGAAATGGCTGGGATGGGAAGCAGAGAGAAATGGCTGGGATGGGAAGCAGAGAGAAATGGCTGGGATGGGAAGCAGAGAGAAATGGCTGGGATGGGAATCAGAGAGAAATGGCTGGGATGGGAATCAGAGAGAAATGGCTGGGATGGGAATCAGAGAGAAATGGCTGGGATGGGAAGCAGAGAGAAATGGCTAGGATGGAAAGCAGAGAGAAATGGCTGGGATGGGAATCAGAGAGAAATGGATGGGGTGGGAAGCAGAGAGAAATGGCTGGGATGGGAAGCAGTGAGAAATGGCTGGGATGGAAAGCAGAGAGAAATGGCTGGGATGGGAATCAGAGAGAAATGGCTGGGATGGGAATCAGAGAGAAATGGCTGGGATGGGAATCAGAGAGAAATGGCTGGGATGGGAATCAGAGAGAAATGGCTGGGATGGGAAGCAGAGAGAAATGGCTAGGATGGAAAGCAGAGAGAAATGGCTGGGATGGGAATCAGAGAGAAATGGATGGGGTGGGAAGCAGAGAGAAATGGCTGGGATGGGAAGCAGTGAGAAATGGCTGGGATGGAAATCAGAGAGAAATGGCTGGGATGGGAATCAGAGAGAAATGGCTGGGATGGGAATCAGAGAGAAATGGCTGGGATGGGAAGCAGAGAGAAATGGCTGGGATGGGAAGCAGAGAGAAATGGCTGGGATGGGAAGCAGAGAGAAATGGCTGGGATGGGAATCTGAGAGAAATGGCTGGGATGGGAATCAGAGAGAAACGGCTGGGATGGGAATCAGAGAGAAATGCGTGGGATGGGAAGCAGAGAGAAATGGCTGGGATGGGAAGCAGAGAGAAATGGCTGGGATGGGAATCAGAGAGAAATGGCTGGGATGGGAATCAGAGAGAAATGGCTGGGATGGGAATCAGAGAGAAATGGCTGGGATGGGAATCAGAGAGAAATGGTTGGGATGGGAATCAGAGAGAAATGGCTAGGATGGGAAGCAGAGAGAAATGGCTGGGATGGGAAGCAGAGAGAAATGGCTGGGATGGGAAGCAGAGAGAAATGGGTGGGATGGGAAGCAGAGAGAAATGGCTGGGATGGGAAGTAGAGAGAAATGGCTGGGATGGGAATCAGAGAGAAATGGCTGGGATGGGAATCAGAGAGAAATGGCTGGGATGGGAATCAGAGAGAAATGGCTGGGATGGGAATCAGAGAGAAATGGCTGGGATGGGAATCAGAGAGAAATGCCTGGGATGGGAATCAGAGAGAAATGGCTGGGATGGGAAGCAGAGAGAAATGGCTGGGATGGGAATCAGAGAGAAATGGCTGGGATGGGAATCAGAGAGAAATGGCTGGGATGGGAATCAGAGAGAAATGGCTGGGATGGGAATCAGAGAAAAGGCTGGTTTTGGGAAACAGAGAGGGGGTGGGAAACAGAGAGGGGGTGGGAAACAGAAAGAGAGGACTGGGTTGAGGATCAGTGAGAAAGGATTGGGGTGTAAAACAGAGATAAAGGAACAGGGTGGGAAACAAAGAGAAACGAGTGGGGTGGTAAACAGAGAGAAAAGAGTGGGTTGGGAAACAGAGAGAAAGGAGTGGGTTGGGAAACAGAGAGAAAGTAGTGGGTTGGGAAACAGAGAGAAAAGAGTGGGTTGGGAAACAGAGAGAAAGGAGTGGGTTGGGAAACAGAGAGAAAGTAGTGGGTTGGGAAACAGAGAGAAAAGAGTGGGTTGGGAAACAGAGAGAAAGGAGTGGGTTGGGAAACAGAGAGAAAGTAGTGGGTTGGGAAACAGAGAGAAAGGAGTGGGTTGGGAAACAGAGAGAAAGGAGAAGGTTGGGAAAGAGAGAGAAAGAAGGCTGTTGAATGGGAAGGGATGAGCATGTGAGGCAGCAGAATCGCAAGGAGAAAATGCAGTGAGTAATTATATGTTCTTATTGTTCATGAGAAATAGTTACACAGCAAGGCCCTTGAGTTACCTACATGCGCAATCAGAACTCTGCTCTTCCTGCCTGCCCTACTAGCAACTCCTATTGCACTACCAGGGCTACTAGCTTGCCCCTTGCCCTAGCATTCTCCTCCTAACATTCTGCCTTACTAGCTAACAATGTTCCTTCTTGGCCTACTAAGTTCTAGCGCCCACAGCAGCAGGACCCACCTGAAGCTACAAGCACTTCACTACAGTCACTTGTCCTGATTCCAAGACTGACGCCCTCCTAGAGAATCCCGTCTGCTACGGTCACGAGCGGTAGGAAGCAGTACGGAGCGGTTTCAGGAGAGGATGAGCCAGGAGTTGACTTCGGCAAAAGCAGCGGCGGTGTAGGAGGCGCCGTTGGAGATGATCCCAGGGTCCACCCAGTCGGCGCGCGACGCCTTGGCGCCAGGGCCCTTGCTGCCGGCCTCCGCCAGGAACATGCAGCTGCCCTCGTTCCAGGACAGCCACCCGTCCGCCTGGATAACGGCCGGCAGCACGACGTTCACGAAGACCGTGAACGCGCACTTCTTCCACGGCCGCCCCAGGTACGCCTTCGCCGCGCCCTTGTCCGCGCTCACCACCGAGTCGCGAATCACGATCCCCGTCGGCGTGTCCTTGGCGCGGCCCGACGCCGTGAGCGTGATGAACGACTTGCTGGGATGCAGCTGGATCTTGGCGTTTTGGATGACGGCGGCCGCGTCGCCGAATATGAAATCCTGCGTGCCGCCGATGTAACAGTTGAGGTAGAACTGCCGCCCCGCGTCCACATACAGCGTATCCTGCGCGCCTTCGAACGAGCAGTCGATCGCCGCCGACTGGTCGCCTGTAGCGCGGAACGCTACAGCCTGGTGGTTCTCCGGGCCGGCAGTGTTGACGAATTTGATCCCGAACGCGACAAAACGGTCGCTGTTCACGCCGACCGTGGCGGAATCGAACGTGCTCGACCCGCTGCCGTAGCTCTCGTCGTACGTGATCACGGTAGCGCCGGCGCCAGCCCCGATGAGGATAATATCGGGGGTGTCGATGACAACCTGCTCCCTGTACGTGCCGGCAGGGATGTAGATCACGTACTGGCTGCCGCCAGGAGCGGCGTCAATCGCGGACTGAATCTTCCCCTTCACGACGGCGTTGGCCTTCAGTCCCTTGCTCGCGCGAATGGGACCCGAAGCGCCGCTGCCCTTGCTCTTGCTCTTGCTCTTGCTGTTCTTGTCCTTGCTCTTGCTGTTCTTGTCCTTGCTCTTGCTGTTCATGTCCTTGCTCTTGCTATTCTTATCCTTGCTCTTGCTGTTCTTATCCTTGCTCTTGCTGCTGCCTCCGCTGCCGCCGCCGCTGTCCTTGCTCTTCTTGCTCTTCTTGTCCTTCTTATCCTTCTTGTCCTCGTCGTCGTCATCATCGTCATCGTCATCGTCGTCACGGCGTCGCAGCTCCCGCCGTGCGACGTACTCGTGAACGCCGTCGCCCAGTGCGTTCAACTCCGCCTGAAGCTGTCGCAGCTGTGCGATAAAGTCGTCGTCCAGCCATTTGGCGCCTCCTGCGACAGCACCGGGCTCGGACGACGCGAGTTTGCGACCCAACTCGGGTGGACCTGCCGCAGCTTTCTTGGCGATGGCTACGACGGCCTCTAGCGTGTCGCTCGCTTTGTTGGCGACAGTCTGCGATGGGGGTCACGGGTAATACAAGAGATTGAGGCAACGTGCGCTGGACTGGAAATTCCGCGTTTGTTTAGAATCTGATCAGAAACACTTTGTAGCAATGAGCAGTCTTGGCGCCTTCGCTCTTAAGAGCTCTCAGAGATACGAAGAAGTGGGGGCAGGAAGGGGGGAGTGGGGGTTTTGGTTGGGCGAGAGGGGGAGGGGCTTACCTCGAGATGCACGAATGCGGGCTGGAATGTCGCGGAGGGCGCGAGCGTCTTGAACCCGTCGACGCAGTTGCCCACTTGCGTGCTGGCGGCGGACAGCCAGAAGGCGCGATCGTGCTGCGCGCTGTCCGTGTCTATCGCGTCCAGCGTGCGGCCCAGGTAGCGCAGCGCGATGCCGCCCTGCGTGCTGCAGTCGTCCGCCACGACATTGATGAAATGGTTCTTGCGGACATTGGCGCGCTTGATCTCCGTGGCGGCATCAATGATCGCGGAGACCTGCTCCGCCACGGCGGAAACCATGGCCGCCGTCACTGCGTCCGCGGCCTGTGGGAGGACACTGAGTTGCCGGCGAGCTGCGCGGAACTCCTGAGAGCAGAGAGTGGCATTCGACACGCCTGTGCAGAGGGTAGGGTGCGAGATGACGAGGTAATTGTCGGCCATGTAGCAGCACGAGATTATGGCGAGTGCCACGCCCATGCCCGCAACGGCCAATGTGGCAGCGCGTTGAACCCCCATGCTGGACACTACGACGTGCGGTGGAATCCCCTTCTCGGAGTAGAATAAGAATTGATGAGCTTCGAAATCTGAACGGGAATGATATTTATACTCGACTAGGACCTGTGATCTAGGTAGCAGTTGCTTCGTGGTAGTAGTTGTACGATAAATTGTGGGTCCTAATTTATGATGCTCGACAATGCTGCGGTAGTTGTGTCGCGATTCGAAACAGTCACGAACTCACGAAAGAATTCTCCTCAGATTCAGGGGGAGGGTGGGGCGCCTCGTTGGCTGGTGTCGCTAATGTGGAGGTGGGGATTGGGAGGGGCGTGACTACAGAGAAAGTCGAGCCGCAGGGGACTGTGATGCTGACTTTGATTGGGCAATCCCCCCTCTAATCTCACTTGAGGTGTGCAAAAGCTGATGAAGCGACAGAGAATTCGGCTAACGAAAGTTTGCGAAGGTCTAACGGTGTCGCTAAAGCTAGTTGCTAGATATGGTCTGCGAACGTCGTGAAACGCTTTTTACATCCCATTCGTTTGTGTGTTGCTTCTTCCACAATATTTCTGGGGGTTGTTCCGTTCCGCCCCCACCGTGTCGCCCCACTAGCGCTGGAGTACAAATTACTGCAGCAAAAACAAAAGCTGAATCCACTTTCACGAATAGCGATTGTAACGAATAAAGCGTTCACGCCACAACAATGCTTTCAAAATAATAATCAGCTCTCAGTTACGACTGAGAAAGTATGCAACTCTTATAGCGTAATATCATTCTCAACAAAAAAAAAACTATACACAGCCTGCTTTTACTCGCTATCCTTCACATTTCTTGATAGATAAAACATTCCTAGCTCATTGCCGAACTAGATGATTGGATTTCTAAACCTTTTTGTTCTCACCCTTGTAATCCGTATCCCCTGCCACGCGCATGTGGGAACATATCCAGGTTACGGCGCGTAACCATTTTGCACCCGACGGAACGAACCGTGGACCGTACGTCGATGCGAAGGGTTACCATTATCGTTTAATGTCGTTCGGTTCTTCGCGATGACGTTTGCGACGTCGCTACAAATTCAAACTGTCATGACACTTTTTCCGCTTTCCAACGACACGAAACTCTGACAACGGACTGTCCGAATCACAAACGGACTGTCCGCCTGTCCGCGCACGCGATTGGCGGGCGAAATTGGATTTCAGCGGACCACCTCGCCAAAACATGAAAAAATGCGACTCGGATGCAAAGATTGACATTGACCCATCACAACTAGCCATACTACAATACAAGAAGCCACGACATTGACCCACTACTCACTTCTCTGCACAATGGATCCCTCTAGCTACGCCTAGAACACCCAGTCTGACAACACCACTCACAACTCCCCGCCACCAGGCTCTACCAATATTACCACTCCTGCCACAGCTGTTCCCGAAAATCAAGAGTCCCAGCCCCTGGTCCTTCTGACATTGAATGGGCTTGGTTTGGACGGCCTTTGTGCTTGTTTGACATTTCCTATGTTTGTCCGAAGCGCTGAACTCAACTGGCGAAAAAAGCGATGGGTTGTGACTGGCGTTACGGTACTGGTGTACATTTGTGAGAAGAAGTGAACGAGAGAATGAATGAACTATGAACGAGGTGAGTACAAATAGGAAACCCTAATTGAGTTGTACCCCCTATGGGATACCCCACTATAGCCTACACAAATAAGTAAGCTATAATGTTCTGACACACCCCCATAGGCAAAGTGGGGGAGAACAAGGGGTCACAAGACCAGTCAAGCAAAGCAAAGCAAAGCTCAGGGTGGATCACAAAGTCACCACACATTCCGAGCACAAGTTCAAAGGCCAGAAGGCCAGTTCACATGCAAGATCATATGTAGAGATATACAAGAGGCAAGCAAGCAAGAGCAAGAGTATATATAGGTAGAAGTACAAGCAAGGTCAAGAAGTGAGCAAGTGAGGCAAGGCAGGCACAAGGCCCAGCTGCGTGCAGCAGCGCTGATGATCACAAGGCGCAAGTGCCTTGGTGAAGACATCAGCAGTGTTGGCCTCAGAGGCCACGTACGCAAGTCGCAACTGTCCACGCTGCTGTAGCTCACGAGCAAGAAAGTAGCGGAGAGCAATGTGCTTTGTCCTGTGCTCCAGTCGCTGCTCTCGACACAAGGCCAGCATGGCCTTGTTGTCTACGTACAGGACTGGAGGAGAACGAGGCGGCTCTCCAAGGTCGGTCAGCAGGTAGGTGAGCCAGCGTAACTCCTGTGCAGCCATGGCCCCTGCGTAGATCTCAGCCTCACAACTGGAGCCGAGAACAGAAGACGAGCGGGTAGCCCGCCACGAAACAGAGCCGGAACCAAGACTGAAGGTGTAACCCTGTGACGACCGCTGCGTAGCCTGGTCGTCAGCCCAAGAAGCGTCTGCGTGCCCAGTGAGGACCACTGGACTGCGCCCTCCAAGCACTAGCCCCATGCCCGACGTACTGCACAAGTAGCGCAACACCCTCTTCGCTGCAGCCATGTGCTCTGGTCGGTGTCTCCCAGGAGCAACATAGCGTGCAAGAATGCTCAGAGGGTATGCAAGGTCAGGTCGTGTGCAGGTCATCAGGTACATGAGGCAGCCAACAAGCTCTGCATACGGGCCACTCGACTCTACGGACTCATCCGAAGGCAGAGCTGAGAGCGAGTGGCGAGTAGGCAGAGGAGTGGCCTGAGGCGAGGAGTACGTGAAGCCGAAGCGCTGAAGGACCTGCTGCACCATGTGTGACTGAGTCAGGGTAATGGTGCGGCGTGCTCTGTCCCGGGTGATCTGCAAGCCAAGGTAGATGTGCAGTTCACCCAGGTCTGTGCACGTGTGTCTCTTCTGCAGCTCGGACTTCACGTGGGCGAGTCCAGCAGTGTCAGCTGTGGCAAAGACCAAGTCGTCGACGTACACGAGGATGTAGAACGGCGGCAGAGAGGTGTCGGTGCGCAGAAACAGCGACGGGTCTGCAGTGGAGGGAGCAAACCCAAGTGCCGCCAGCGTAGTCATCAGTGTGTCGTGCCACTCACGCGGCGCGTGGCGGAGACCGTAGACTGGACGCCGGAGACTCCACTAGGTACCAGGAGGGAAAGACCCAGTGAAGCCAGGTGGGCGACGCAGCCAGATCTCCTCGTGCAGGCTGCCCTGCAAGAAAGCAGTGCTGAAGTCGAGAGAGTGCAGCTCGTAGTCACGGTGAGCAGCAACGTGCAGCAGTACCCGAAGAGTGGTCATCTTCGGGGTGGGGGAGAAGGTCTGAAAGTAGTCAACTCCCTGCCGCTGACTGAAGCCACGAGCCACGTACCGCGCCTTGAAGACAGGTGGAGAACCCGGCGGCCGCTTCACCCTGAAAATCCACATGCCACTGACGATGTTCGCCCCAGGAGGGGGAACAGCATCAACGTAGGTGCCTGTGGACTTCCAGGAAGCCATCTCTGCATCCATAGCTGCCTGCCACTGAGAGGAGTAGGGACCCTCTATCGCCTCCGCGTAAGAGCGCGGAGTCGGGATGTCTAGTGCATCCGGGTCTCCCTCAGGGGCTAGCAGTACAGACGCGAGATGAGGTGAAGCGGCGGCCAGACACTGGAACTCCTCCTGCCTGTCCTCAAGGACGTCCGTGCCAAGGGCACACTCACCCCCGACGGACGGAGGACAGGTGGACTCAGACTCAGCGACAAGACCAGCAGCGTAGTCTAGACGACAGCGCGCAGCAAAGTCGACGAGCTCAGTGACAAGGGCAGACGCAGCAGAAGACTTGAAAGAAGGGTCAGTGATAGCAGTAGCAAGGAGACGCGTGACAGTAGGACTGGAAGCACGAAGAGAGTCCGACTCCGGGTCGGCAAGAGCAGGAAGAGAGGAAAAGGGGCACGTAGAGGAGCAGTGGACGGACGCAGAGACATCCGGTGCGTGCCAGGGACAGGAGGCGGACGCTGACGCGAACCGCGACCACTAGTGCGCGCAGTACGAACAGGCGACGCAGGACGAGACGCAGGCTCACGACGCTCAGTAAGACCTCCAGTCGGACCAGCGTAGGGAGAAGGAGCAGGCAAAGGGGAGGCAGGCTGTAGCAGTGACTGGACAGGCTGTGGACCCTCTAAGGGAGGAGGAGGAGGACCAGGAGAAGGTGGAAGACCAAGAACCTGCTGCAGGAGCGGTACGAAGTACGGTCGGGGCCGCGTGGCGACGCCAGAAACAGCAGGGACAGCACCAGTACCCCCAGCAGGAGTACACGCTCCAGCAGCACCTCCAGCAACACCTCTAGTAGCTCCAGAACCCCCAGCAGCTCCTCCAGTAGCCCCAGAACCTCCAGCAGCACCAGGAGCACCGCCAGTCGAACCACCAGTGGTAGTCTCAGCGCCAACACCCTCAGCAGCACCAGCTCCAGGCGAACCCGCAGGCCCAGCAGGTCCAGTACTCCCAGTACGAGCACCTCCGGGACCCGCGGCAGCAGCACCCTCAGCAGCAGAAGAACCTCCAGCACCAGCAGCACGCCTCCAGCGGCGAGCAAACCACTCGCGCAGCTCCTGTGAGGAGAGTGGCTCTCGGCGAGACGAAGCACCCGGAGAACCTCCAGGCGAAGAACCTCCAGGCGCAGCACCCCCAGGCAAAGCACCTCCAGGCGTAGCACCCCCAGGCTCAGCACCCCCAGGCTCAGCACCCCGAGGCTCAGCACCCCCAGACTCAGTACCCCGAGGCTCAGCACCCCCAGGCTCAGCACCCCTAGGCTCAGCACCCCCAGGCTCAGCACCCCTAAACCCCGCACCCCCAGGCTCAGCTCCCCCAGGCACAGCACCCCCAGGCTCAGCACCCACAGCAGCACTAGAGTCACCAGTGACCTCCACAGGCTCGACCGCGTCTACCTGGGACACACCTGAAGGGGCAGGACCCTGAGGGGGTCTACCGGGGGGGGACCTGGTACCAAGAAGAGCGGGGGTGGGGGGAGGGACGGAGTGCGGTAGGGGAAGAGGCGGTAGTAGGGTACCGACTCGTCGAACGTGACGTCCTGGGAGGACA